CCGACCCTAGAAACTATGAAACTATGAAACTATAAAATCATACTGTAAGAATTGCCATATCAGAACAAACTACCTGCCCACCCAGTTCAGTACCTTCCAGTCTAGTGGTCCATCTCAGATACACTCTTTTGACAATGCCTAATGCCAAATGTTTGACAAGAATTTGCAAGAAACCCCATAAAGAAAACTTGTGGAAGAGTCTGCTCATAGTGAAAGTGTCTTCCTAATTCTGACCTATTAGTTGTTGCCTTATGCTCTGAGGTGGGAGTTTATATTTCTTTTACAAGAAAAGCTAATCCTATGGTAAGTATGGATTGTCCTAATATCCATATCTGTTTTTATCGTATTTATCTATTTAGAGTTATAGAACTGATTTAAAAAGCACCCATCCAAGGCTTTAGCTGCCTTTGCCATATAGCAAAAAAGCACTGGTCATCATATGGAACCACACACCTTTGCAAAAGATGCCTTTTACAGAAAGTAATGATGGAGACAAAATAAAAAACCTTCCACACAACTCGAGTCCCAGCTCTATCTCTGTCTATGAGGTAGCTCCAAGGCATTTGATAGTCGAATAACATTAGGATTAATCGAAACAGTTATGATGAAATCTTTTTTAGTTGGAAAATAGGGTTTTAGCAAAAACAAATGCTTTCCTGAAAAACTAATTTCCATCATATTTTTCAATCTATTTTCCCAAAGTGAAAAATCTGGGGAGAAATCTTCAATATTTATAGTTTGGAAAGAGTGGATTTGTCCACTTTCTGATCATTTTCTACCACTTACTAGTTTGAAAAGTGTTACCGACTGTTGAAAATTGCCTTGTTAAACGATATCAATATGAAAAAAGTGGGGGTTTTCCCCTATTTTCTCACAAATATTTTACCCTTCCCTCCTTTGTCCTGTAGAAAACAGAACCAAAACACAGAGGAACCCTCCTGAAAACTATAAACACAATTATTTTATTTTGTAAAACTGAAACAAAACATTTGTTTTATTGTTTCTGAAAAAACAATAAATTCCCATGGGGAAAGCCCAATTTTTGACCAAATCTTTCTGAACATTTCTTTTTCTGACAGAAATTTTGCTGGGAAAAAGCCCTCTTTCCAACCAGTTCTAAATAATGTATTGCAGGTAAATCCACCTTTGCAACATTAGTACAAACACCACAACCTCTCAAAACCTGAAAAGGGAAGACAAAAATCCCACCCATCACTGCCACCAACATCAGCCCATAGCTGTCAGAATCCAGCTTTCCTCACCATATTAGTCCCCAGATACCTAGAAAAAGAGATGCATCTTTATGTCTGTTCTGTAAATTAAAGGAATTCAGTCTATTCTGGACCCAGAAAAAGTGCATTTCAAAATTCCAGAGTGTGTGTCATGGAGGCACTGTGAGGCCTGATTAGTTAGTATTCAAAAAGTACGATTAGCTGCTTGCTTGCATCCATCCCTAGTGGATCTTAACACCTCTTTTATTATTCATCAGAGAGCTTGATTGTAGCTCCATCTATTAGCTCCTGCACCAGAAGCCTGACTTGGAACCACAGACTGTGGTGCTACTGGAGTCCCAAGGTTCCCAACCTAAAGGGACTCCCACAGGGTTTTGTACAAATTGGGTGGAAGCAAACAAAGAGAACTGCTGAACTAACCCTGTGCCGTCCAACTAAGCAAGCAATTCTCTGGGAATTCCTATAAAAAGCACAGAGCTCCATTCCCAGTGCTGCTGCAAGGGAGTTATTGTAAGGTTGGTATTTACTGTGAGGTTACTGCATTTTTTAAGACCCACCCCCCCATGACTGTTCAGTAAAATGAAGTGTGGGGGCAGTGGGAACCTAGCGGGACTGAATATCCTTTTACAACCAGGCTGCATGGGTGCAGGGAATGGCGAAGTGAAGAGTCATGAGGTCTCCGAGCATTTCATTCCCACCGCAAGCTTCTCCCATAAAACCACTGTGATCTCTCACACTGTATCTTCCCACTGCCTGGGGGGACAGGGAGGTTGAATCCGAAAGTCTGCATGCTGTTTGGGTTCAATGGGACAAGCTGCAACAGAACAGAAATGGTCAGCAGCTGGGAGCTAGGACTCCCGAGTCCTAATCCTAGCAGAGCATGCTCTTATGAAAGGATGCCTCAGTGCTGGTCTCAGCTGTATTACCAATTGTGTGATTGTGGGCAAGATGCTTGATTTCTCCATACTTCTGTAAAATGGGGCCAATAATACACAGCTGTCTCCTGAGGATGCTTGCAAAACACTCTGGGTTCAACAGCTGAAAGGAGCAAAGTGTTGTCAGGAACCCCAGTCTGTTCTCAAAAGGCGGTTCTGAGCAGATTTGACTGGCTTAGGTGGTCCCGCTCATAAGTGCCCCGTCTTACTCCATCCAGGCACTTATGGGTATGCTGATGCCATAGTGGCAAAGAGATCAGTCACACCACCAACCCGCTCTGTAAACTTT